TACGTATCCGAATCGCCAAATTGAAGCAACAAAATAATACGAATTCTTCGAAGGAACAAAGTTAAACTCGATTTTCGAAATTTCTAAGTTGAAGTTGAAAAAATAATTGGCAATGAAAAGGAGAGAGAGCCTCGAATCGACCTCGAAAGAGCATCGAAAGTTTCGAAAGAAACTAAACTCGACTTGGAAAAAGAGCGTTGGAGAAAGGGCGCGGCGGTTTGGTATAGAGCGAGAAGGAAGAAATTGGTAGAAGGAATGCGGCCAGTTCCTCCAGAAACCGTTGAAAGTCGATTCACACCGTGTATGCGAAAACACGTCATCTCTCGTGATTAACGATCGCGGAATTAATTTCGAGCAACGACGACAGAGCAAATACTTGGGGGGATTAAGCGTCCGGAGACGGTCTTTGTTTTTCCGTATCAGAATTCCGTATGAAATATGTATAAAGCGTGCCCCGGTTACGAGCGGCGACCGAATTACAAGCGGCAGTCTTCAAGATCGGGGATTAATCAAATGCGGTCGTTTAATCAAATCGAACCAACCGCCCTAGTCTATCGGCCCGACCCGATTCCCCCTCCTTCTTCCACCGCAGATATCTTCTGTAATAATATCGGCAAACGAGATTTCGTATCCGTTCCCTCCCACAAATTAATCCTCGATGCAACAGTCGGAAATGGAAAAGGAGAAAAAGGAAAAAGGAAGAAAGGAAGGAGCAAGGGGATGAATCTAGATTCGTAGCGGGTTCCCCGATATTTCTAGCGGGGGATGGTCGAGTGTGTCGGCGGAAATTCGAGGACGAACAAACGCGACCCGATTACGATCGAAAAGCTAACAAGAAGATTCGCAAACCGTTTCGACTCGATTCGGGTCACGGCGAAGGGTTCAAAGGGAATCGTGTATATAGATATAGATATATATATATATCGGGTCAAGGAGGCCCGAGGTTGCCGGCCAATTAATTAGTCATTTCTTTGACGAGGATTCTCGTAATTCGAGGTGTTCCCTTTGCCGCGATACAAGTAGTAATAACGGGACTTCTTCGAATTGCAGCCACCACGAGAGCCCACTGTAGAGAATCGTACATCGAAGAAAGGAAACGAGGTCGAGTCGAATAAAACAGGAGTGGAGGCCGACCTTCTGGTCCGGCGAACGCCTTCCTCGTTTCCGAGCAAGTTCTGCTAGAAACGCGATCAAATATCCTTTATTATTTATGCGAGATACATAATTTTCCAACGAAATAACGAATAAAATAACTATGTGAATTTCTTATCGAATTAATCCGTTTGAAAATCTATCGATGCGCGTCGAAGAAAGAATCCTCTTTCGGTCGATACATTTTTGAATTTTTCGTCTTCTTCGATCTTTACGAATTCTCTCTAATCCTTTTTGACAAATATAAAGCCTTTATCTTTAATATTTCAAAAATCTATCCAATATTAATTATTGATAAATGGATTTTCGTTCGCCTAATACGCCGTACAATTTTGTACAAACACATCCGTATTTGCAATTATACTGTTATTGTAAGTTAATGTACGGTATTCCGTTCATTCGTGTCACGAGCATTATTCGGTCATTGATTTTATTTAATAAATAAATAAATATTACCAATAGGCCAGAGTTTCGCGATACGATATCAAATCGTGAAACGATTCGATCCGATGTAGAATGTTTAGATTCGAAATCATACCATTCATTATTGAAGCGAACATGACACCCGAATTTATTTCCAATAATGAAATTTTGTCGAATAATTAATTATTTGGTCCGAGGGAGGCCGAGAAATCAAATTGTTTCGTAATTTAATCGAATCAGACCGTTATCGGGACGTTCTTTTAAATCGTGCCCTCGTCTGACTAATGGCATCGCCACGCGAAAATATGCGCATACGTTTCCTTTAGTTATCGAAATAGGGAGACGCGCGATCAACTTGATTTCTCTTTCGCAACTCGCATGTTCGAATATTAAGCTCGAGATTCGAGATTCAAACCAATAGCTCCCTATTTTCTCACCCTTAAGCGATCGATAAAAGGACCGAATCGATCTGGAAAATGTACGTTTCAAAAATAATGAATTTTGATCGGAATCACCGATGGATGTGGAGAAATAGACTTCAGACGAGCGTGAACATACTCGGATTCGATCCATCTTGCGATTAAATTAATCGCGACAAACTATAAATATCCATCGACACCGATATCTCTATCTATATCCACCTATGCTGCGGTTACTTAAGATTTTCTCGCGTAAAATCAGGTTACTCTTATCTATTCGAGGACTAGATTCCCCAGGGAGGATAGAAGATCGTTTACGAGAGACGCTCGAGCAACGAGATAGCCACGTTTTCACGATCGAGCTGGGATGACAAAGAAGAAGGCGAAAAGTTTGATCCGACCAATGTCAAAAATTTCCAAATCGCGATAGAGCAAAGGAGGGGAAGGGAGGGCAAAGGAGAGGAAGGAAGGGGAAGGGAGGGCAAGGAAGGGATTCGAAAGCACTTGGAATTTATTCGAAAGCAACCTCGTTACGGTGCGGCTGGCAAAGTAGGTCGCATGAAAATAGCAAGGACGTTTAAAAGCGCCTCACCGTGCGATTTAACGTCAATGGGCCACTTCTCGTTCCCCTCTTTTCTTTTTCTCTCCGTGGGCTCCGTGCGACTCCTTTTTCTCGGCCGCAACCCGCTCCTTTCTCTCTCTCTCTCTCTCTCTCTTCCCTTCCATGCGTTTTCTTCCTTTTTGCGGGTCGAGTCGCGACATTTAAGCTAGGAGTCGTAGACGAGCGTAGGCGAGCTCTTGGAAAAATCTTTCGCTCGCTTTGGACTCGAACGAGCGAGCGCGCACCAGGAGCGAGCTTTGTGCCCGTTCTCTTTTTCTTCGGTGTAGGATTCCTTCTTGACGGGTTGTCGCCTTCTTTCGCGCCTTGCGGGACGTTTCTTCCCTTTTGCCGTAGCATCGCGCCTTTTTCACTTTAACGCGATCTTCTTAAATTTCCTCTTCGATCGACTGCGGCGCCTCGCTACGAATCACGAGTGATATCGGGCAATTTAATCTCGATCGATTAAAAAGAAAGAAAAAAGGGAAAAAAGCGATGGTTCGCTTAAACATTAAAGATTAAAGTTGATTCGTTTTTTGAAAATGATCGAATCGAAGAGAATCGAATTCAGTAGTAATCCATCAATCGAATGAAAGGAATAACTATAGATTATTATTCTCGCCGCTGATGAGACGGGTCCGAGAGAGGGGAGGAATACCGTGGACGAGTTCACCCTTGACCTTGGAAAGAAAGGAGAGAGAGAGAGAAATAGAGAGAGAGAGAGAGAGAGAGAGAGAGAGAGGGAGAGAGAGCGAGGATATAAAAGACCGACGAAACTCTGATCGAATCATTCATTACCAACGCTTTACGAACACGTACGCGATATTTCGCCACCGAGGAATTCCGTATAGGGAGGGTGTATAAATGACTTCCATTCTGAAACTTACTCCACTATGGAGTCGGCTATAGACGCAGCGGGATAACCTTCAATCGTGGCCAACCTCGATCGAACTTCATCCCGTGTGGGGACCGAAATTCCCGCAGACATCGATTCCTACGACACAATGTCGACCACCAACCCTTCGCGTTTGTCCTGCTAAGTACCGTTGTCTTCATTAACCTCGCCGAGACTAGCCGAGATTTGAAAGAACCCAACTTTCCGAGTTTCGGTAACAGGAAATTACGGTTACGTGGTACGGTTGAACGGTGATCGTTATACGCGATACTACACCAATTTTATTCGAAGAACGCGTAAACATTCGTTTAAAAGAGAAATATTGAATTGATTTTAAAATATCGAATACATAAACAGGAGAAACATTGACAGAGGGAACGGAGGAAAGCTTCGAGAGATTCGAATTAGTCGAAGATATCGATCGAAGAAACACTCTCGGAAGAATATTTTCGGGCAAAATACCGGATGATCGAAATGATCATCGATCGAGTCGACGTTTGTTCGAGCACGATCCGGTTCCGAGGAGAAAGATTGATACGTGACGTTATTAGAAGTATTATTTTAGAAATATATAGGTCGTTTGATTGAAGGAAAATCGAAATGGAAAAAGGAAAGGAATCGACCCTTATTTCTGTATTTTCTCGTGAAAGAAATTGAAAATAGAAAAGATTGCGGGGGGAAGACGAGGTGGTTGGGAGCGACTTCCGGTTGAAAACAGGCCACTTGATTACGCGCTTGTCTCGCCACTTAAATTACCACCGCATTGAACTCGCGTCGATAAACCGTCGTTGTTGAATTAATAATTGATCCTAATTGAATTAATAATCCGCTCATCCCTCTACGGAAATTGTAATAGCTGAACGGTGGCTAACAAAATACGGCCAAGCTATACGTACAGTTATTGGTTCCTGTTCAATTATTGACTTCCCTTCTATTCCATTCCTCCCAGCTTTCGCCGAATGGAATGTTCTATTAAACCATTGACAAAACGAGTGTTTAAAAAAAAAAAAAAAAAAAAGAATACGCGCTTTCCCGATACTAAAATGTATTCTTCGCCTGTATTGTTCCCCCGTATTCGGTCAATTAACGATCATAACCGAAACGATAAAAATAACGATTTCGATTTTTAAAAAAATATCGCAGGCTATAGAAAAATTGAAACCGATATCTATACACGCGATATCTTCATGATTTATTAACTGTACCACGAATTTCCCCTGTTTCTCCCCTAAAAAAAAACGGACGGAATCAAACAGGGAGAAAGATAACTTTGGCCCGAATGAAAGGATCGAAGGATCGCGACTGTTTACGAATCGGCTTTAGCTGGCGAGCCAACGTCAACAAGGGGCGATTCTCTGCTCCGAGCATGGCTCTTGTTGACATCTCTTGTCGCGAATATTCTTTGCTCGATCACCTGTCTCAAATTCTCGGCGAAGAAACGTGAAAGAACGACGAGCGAATACCTTCGCTCGCGAGAGATAGAGTAAATCTAACAAGACGATTGGTTACTCACCGCTTCTGCCCGTTGGCGTGGGCGCGGACGTAGATCTCCCGGTCGGTTCCGGAATCGGGAATATCAGGTCGCAACATTCTCTTTCCGGAAACTCGCTGGCGCGAGTGCACCTGCAGCAGCAGAAGAGTAGGACGAGGGCCGCGGCGACGCTCGTGACCAGCGTGGAGCGCGCGAGCAGCGTCCCGACGACACGTGACATGACTCGTCCCATCAGATCATGACACACCATCGAGGACGGCCTGCTGCCCTTCACCCTTTCCGGAACGCGTTCCTCTTCGACGCTCTCAACGGCCACCGGTCGACCAGTCGGACGACTGAGACGAATCCCGCGGCGTCCGCGCGACATTCTCTCGTCGTCCGTCTCATCGTGCGACGTCTCCTCCACCTTCGATTCGATCCAACCGGGCCCAACCCTCGTCGTCGTTGTATCCACACCGGATTCCACCCGGTGATCCTCCTCTCTCCCTACCACCTTCTTCTCCTCTTCCTTATTATTAAAAAAAAAAAAAAAAAAAAAAAAAAGAAAACCAAAACAAAACGCGCACACTTTACTCGAAGATTCTATCGAAACACTTTTCTCGCCGTTTCCCAAGACGAAATGCCACCGATCCGACCAAACTCCCGACTCATAACGAACTACCAAGAGGCTCGAAGAGATAACTCGCGTGGCGAGAACCGCTTTCGACGCACCTCGAACCCGTCCTCTTCAACCCTCTTCAACGATCGCGGATGAAGAAGAAGAAGAATCGTCGATCGATCACTCGCGATCAAACTGCCACGATGCGCCTGGACGGTGTCGAAACTAAACGAAAATCCGCACCAAACTCCCTCCTCTCTCTCTCTTTCTTTCGCGATTCTACACGATTCTAGCGCGCGTGTCGTGCACGGATGTAAAAGCGTGGCGAGTCTCGGGTAGGACGGGGTGGTGAGCGTGGTTGCAGAAAACGATGCGGCAAAAGTCGCGCACTACTCTCTCGGCCCTCGTGTCGCGTTTCGAACACACTTGGCGCGCGCGTGCTCGCGAACCGAGCGTGCTTTCGAGCCGAGACCGCGTCGCCACGGCGTCCCGACGCCCAATGACGACCGCACCGCGTTAGACCGACGGCCGCGCGACTACCACCGCCCCGCCAACCCTCTTCCGCCACCCTTCTTCTCACCCCTACTCCCACCAACCTTACACACCATAGTTTCTGCGCCAAAGTGTGCGCGCTCCTCGCGTTCCGAATCCTCCGAGAGAACGACGTTCTCTCCCGTCCTACCTCTACGTGTCCTTGTGCACGCGACCCAACGCTCGCCCTCGAGTGCGCTCGTCTGTGCGCACACCCTGCTCCTCACTCTCTACGCAGTAACGCATCGTTTCACCTACTCCCCTAGGAGAACGCACACCTGCAACACTCCGTTAATCTCCAGGGGACACCCGCGAAACGCGAATCTAACTCCTCCAGTGGCTATCCCTATAATACTACCCCTGTGTTTACCTCTTTTAACCGATCCGTTAAACTCTCTCTTTCCTTCTTCCGCTTCCGCGATTCTCAGCTTCCCTCTTTCGGACGGAAGAAGAAAAGATACGAATCGAAGGATATCCTCGTTCGTCGTGTGTTGGCTATCATCGAGCTGGTAATAGTAGTAGTAGTGATAGTACACGCGTCGCGTGTTTCTTCCTCGTAAGTTCGACTGGAACCGATATCGGTGTCCGTAGTTATTTGGCCGGCTGTGCACATGGCTGTGTATCGTGGCTCGAGCACGTACAGCGTTGGTGGTGTGCGGGTCGTGCCGCCTAGCGTACGTGTCGATGTAACACGATTCCACGGCAGTTCGTGGAAACGACAACGTCCGAACGGATCCGAGGTATTCCGAGCGGAGGAACATCCCCTGAGTGGGGAGGGGTGGCCAGGTGAGCGAGCAGCCACCGACGACCCTCGTTTCCTCGTACGCGCCATCGTTCCTGACCTCGTTTCGCTCCGTTTGTCGAGGTCGGTTACGCGGAAATGTCCCTCCTCGCAGCGGTCCATCCTTGAAAATCGGCTCAACCCTCGACCGTTCCTTCGTCGTTTTACCTGGCCTGCTTCGTCTTTTCGACCGATCTTCGAAAAGAAATTCAACGAGCAAAGCGCTTCGTTCGATAGTTCGAGAGACGAATTTTCGGGTTACAAGCGAGCAGCTGCCAGCCAACTTTCTGTACCTGATCAAGTTAAAACACGTTACCACAAGCGTAGAACCAATCAACGCAAGGTTGTGAAAGTTTCATCGTTGCAGAAGCAACTTGGATCGCGTTGAAAATTTCACCGGTCCATCATCGTGCAGCTCTCCCGATCTTGGTCTTTTAATAAACGATCACGGTTGATAGGAATTGCGCGTGTGTACGAATAACATGACAGAAATCGACAAAGTTTACGAGAAAATATTTCGTACAATGTTCGAAATAACGTTGGATTGACGATTTTTGTTGAAAGCGTGGATCGTCGTCAACGAATCGAACGTTATCAATTAGGAAGGATGATTGCCAGAATTCATGGACGGCCAGTGGACGACGAGATGCGGCGCATAATGCCGGGGCAAACAGTATTATTAATTCTCATCGCGACGCTTCGAAAATCCGATATTCGAGTCCACCGGGGGAAAAATGTAGCCGACAGAACCTCGGTCATCCGCATAATCGCGATTCGATTGGCCACGTTAAATAGAGCCAACCTAATATTGACGTGTAATATTAATCGAGTTTTATATGCTCGCACGATGTAATTATTTCGTTCGTAAAATAACGCTCGTGCGCGTAATACTGTCGCACGATTATTTAATCCAACGATTTCTTTCGCGCGAAACGCGTATGTTATCGCGAGGAAAACCGATTTAATGATGAAGAAAGATACATGAATGGAAGGCGAGAGAATGTCTGTGTCGGTAAATTGCACGATGTTGCTAGAGTTTCAAGGATTTTACTGACGAAGTCGAATCGGTGCTGGAGCCAGTGGTATAAGCGCGCCGCTGGTCAGACGAGACGTAGATGCGTTCGATAATGGTAGAAGTAGGTGGATAGTCGAACAGGGCCATGTCGGTTGTACGAGAATCCGAGTCAGCGATTATGCGAATAATCAAGTGCTCGTACGGCCAAGAAGGAAAGCGCATAAAGAGAACCTTATTCCGCGTTAATTGCCGTGTAATTTGTAGAAAAAGTAACGAGTCCGGGTGAAAGTCGAGAAGAAAACTTGAAATTTCTTCGAATAGAAGCTGAACGCTCGTTCTTGGAGGTTGTTGAGAAACGATTTAATTGTTTAAGACCGTGAACAATCGTTACGAGATTCGAGGTTCGCGGATATTTGAGAACACCGCGCGTGGAATTATAAAACAGAGGAGAGACCTCGAACAAGTCTCAAAGGTCGGATGACGACGATCACGCGATGCGATCGTATAATTCTGACGTAAGAAGTTGTTCTTCGAATTCGATAATTTAATATAAACATCAAGTACGTGATTTGTAGTCGTGACGTGAGCTCGTGATCGAATCTCGAGAAGTCGAGAACTTTTATCGAATTGATTTTCTTTCGACGAATTTTCCCATCCGTGAATAAATAACTAGAAATAATGACATTCTACAGTAGCGATGCGTGAATTACGATCGAATAATAATTTAAAAGCGAAAATTTATGCGATCGAAATGCCATCTCCCCGATAAATCCTTCCCTCGCCCAACGTTGAAAATGGATGGAAGGTGCAAAAATCCTTTGTTCTACTTTTCCGAGTTCGGGATAGAATTTCTGTTCCGAATTCTATATTTTTCTACGGCAACGATTATCACCGACAGCGACGCCTCCAATTGGAACGCCAAGTTAGTCGCGTGCCAACCGAACACTGGGACCTTCGTACATCGGCATCACGCGAAGGTATCGCGATCCAACCACCGTACCGGCGTAATCCACCCGTGAGGAACGTAGTGGTGCTGTTATTCCCTCGATCGAATTGCCATTTATTTTACCTTTTAATCACCGTTCGGTCTCTCCCTGAAATTGAACACGTGCATTTCTACCAATTGAACTCTCGTTACCCAATACGCGACCATTACCTTTTTCACGTAGAATTCCAAGTAAGAATAAAAATGTATCTACGCGAGATTCGAAATGTCTGCAACGACGAGAAGGATGGCGGTAATTCCGTGAATCAGTGTCAGAGCGACCGACACTTGGAGAGTGCATCGCTAGAAATCAGGTTTAAACGAGCATATGTAATATATTCAGCGGTCTACCGCTGTATCGGGCGACGAAACCGTGGAGAGACCGGATGCATAGAGAACTCGACGATAGTCAACGTCGGTCTGCGGTTACGGTGAGTAGAAGTGACAGCCAGTACCTGCATAATGACTCGACTGCAGCCGTGCAATGCGGCGCGCAAGCTCGCTACGCGATGCACACTGCCAATCGGAACGTTGTTTCGTCGCGTTAGATACACGAGCGTCGCAGCTAGATTCCACCACAACCACCATTACCGACGCCACCGTCACTACCCTACACCGCTGCTAGCTACAGTCGTCACAACCGTCGTACAATCGCCACCGGCGTCACCAGTACAGATTTCTATCCACCCAACAATGTTAGGCAGGTATGTCTTTCGAACGGTGGCACGCGATTCTCACCGATTTCTTTCCAATTCGTTATTTCACTTCCGTTAATAATCCTTTCGGGTGAATTGGATCCTGTAAAATCCTTGCAACTCTGTTCGCGTGTTAATTTTTTTTTTCCTTTCTTCGTTTTTCGTTATCGTCGAATATAGAACAGCGTCGAGTCGAATTCGTATGCACAAATGAAAATTTCCTCGGATCGATATGATATTTACGAGCCTCGTGTTTCGATACGGTCAATTATTTTTTAATATAAGATCGTTACGCGTGGAATCCATGGAAAGGAGAATAATAAATTAAAATGTTATAAAGAACACTGGGATACCAAAGCGATAAGCAAAACATATTAATCGTATGCAAATATAAATGACTCTACATGGTGAAAAGAAATTATTTCTTTCAACGTGTTCTTGAAACGTGAGAACGTTGAATTTACAATAATGTAAAATTCTTAAATTTGATAAAATATGTATGTTATATCGAAATTGGATAGAATCGTGGAACATCGAACATCGAATCTCCTTTATCCATTTTCCATTCATCGATCGTAACGTGATAACAGGTGGGTATAATTAAAATTTGTATATTCTTTGTAGTAGTATACACTTTTATTGCGTGCACACTCAATCACAATATATGTATGCCTCGGTTTGTCTCATGTGTCTGTGTTTATGTCTTCGTGTACAATGTGGGTGTTCTCTGTGTGTGCCTGCACATATATAGATATATAGGTACATACATAGATCGTTCTAAGATCGCGCATGCCTCGGCGCATACATCTATATATATGCACCGTTTTATAATATATGATTTCACGTTTCTTTTTTTTTTTTTTTTTTTTTCCTTTTATTTTCTTTTCCATCGTCTCATATACTTATGACAATAATAGTATATTTTACATGCAAAAACAAAAAGTTTTATCACAGTGGGACAGCATACATTCGTTAATAACGTAATAATTGTGTATCGATAACTTCTTCTCTACCGCTTTCTTTCTTTCTTTCTTTCTTTTTTTTTTGTTTGTGATACCCTCCCTCCCTCCCCCTCCCTCACCAATACACCCTAAATGTTGCAAACCCACCCCACTTCGACTTCTTCCACTCTTTCCCCCCCACTCCTCTTCTCTGTTCACGCATATACTCGCGAAATAGAATTCATTTGCTGAATCGATTCGTTCAATGATCAGCGATTATCGTCATCCATCACACGATCATACCACTCGCATACCAGGCGCCTTCATGTCCACCGATACATTTACACCTCACACGATACCCCGACCATAGAAAACGAGGAAAGAAAAAGACTGGCAAGGATCCAAATGGACGTACACGAAATCTGTCGACCGTCGAACACGATTTTAAGACGGTTTCGCGTGCGACCAGCCCCTCTTCCTCCCTTTATTTTTACACGGTCGATCAATAGGGGCGAAATCGCCTTGAAGCCGTGCTCTCGCGACTCGTAGATGTATTTTTTTCTAGACGGTCGAAATATCCCCGTCGATTTATTGTACTTTTCTCTCTCTCTCTCTCTCTCTCTCTTTTTACTTAGACTGGCAAGAGATCAAAGTTGGGCCAATATTTTATTCGAGGCGAACATTGTCCTCGAGAGTTTCTGCATAATGCGTATGGGAATGGAGAATACGCCAATTCCTCGAAGATCGCAACACACGCCAAGAATACGTTTTACATTGTTACGAATAAAACATTATTTCGATGAATCATCTTCATTCTTTATATCTTCATCTTTATTTTTCGTCAGAATCGTGAATGGAAAAAAAAAAGTATTTTTGTTACAAAATAACACCCAATTCCGCGAATTGTTCGATTCGTCGAATGGCAGACGAAGATATTTGCTTTTAATAAGTAACACGATCAACGAATTCTCTCCATCTATTCCTCTTTCTAAATTTGGACGCAGACAAGCAGAAAATTGCAAAGATCGTTACACCACTCTCTTGTTATAATTTTGTACGATACTCTCTCTCTCTCTCATTCTTTCTCTTTCTCTTACCTTCTTTCGAACATACACGCTTTCTCTACACTCAGAGACACATTCTTATTTTAATCGTTCCTTCTCGATCATACAATTAACCATTTCTGGCAAAGAGGCTTCAAGAGAAACTCCACTTTTTTTCTTTTTTTTACAATTAGTTCGTTATGCTTAGGTTAACAATATATTGGTCTACGGCGATCCCCCAATCTTTCTCTAATTATCTATTTCCTATTGGCTTGTTGTCACTACTTAAATCGTTAGCATTGACAAAAGAGAGGAATCGAAATGCATGTTTCATTGGTTTCTCCATAAAAGGACGTATCGTAACGCTTAAATTACTCGTTTCTCCGTTTACAATTAATTCGTTAAGTAGTTTAAATATCTCGTTTAGTTAACTGGAACCTGAGAGTTTTGCCCGTAGCTAAACCGCCAAGTAATATAGTAATATTTTATACATATTGCTGCAAATATTAGAAAAAGAGTGTCCACGAGCGTGTCTAGAGAAACTGTTTACCTTCTTTCCTTTCTATACGAGTTTACAAATTGCCGCGAAAATCGGCGCACGTAATTACTATTACAGGAATCGCTATTTTATGTATTACAAATTGCAGTTTCGATTACGATAAGTGTTATCGATACGATTTGATTATCAATGTTTCGCAGAAAATTTATTTTTCGCAAGGCTCTTCCTCTTTGTGGTGAGAAATGTCGGAATACCATTAATAGATCAATCAATCACTCCTTTCTTTTTCGTCGCAAAATATCTGCATCGATCGACAGTAAGTAACACCGTTACGAAATATTTATCTCGTCTCTCTTTTTTCCTCAACTTTCTTGCTTTTTTTCTTTCTTGCACGCGCCCTTTCTTATCTTCCACCTCTCTCATTCTCTCCCTCTCTTTCTCTCTTCCATTGTTTCTCTCGCATTCTGCACATATTCAACTTGTAGAAAAGCTAAGGCAACTTTTACACGTTATCTTCTCTCGTCGCTCCATCTCTTCTCTTCCGATCGTTTTTTGTTTTCTTTTTTTTTTTTTTCGGTCTACATAAAATTCTCCCGTCCCTTGAATTCTTGAATTCTTAACGCGTTAAGATTCTTGCCTCTTTCTCACAATCGATCTCCCGTTAAACAATTCATCATCAAACGCTCATCGAACAGCGACAAAAGTCTGAGCCTCGCCGAGTCGATCCGAGAATTCTCTGAATCCTCCTCGCTTCGAGTTTCTTTTGGTTCTTTGAAATTGACTTCGTCGATTCGAGGAGACTCAGCGATCGACACGTTGGTTGTTAAACATGTAAAAAAAGAATATCGATCGGCTCAAGGATCGTCAGACCGAACAAGTATAATAGAGATAACCGTTCTGGCTCGTGAAAGAAACTGTTGGATCGGTCCCGCCGAGAAGTCCACGCTAATTTCCAAGTCATCCTCCCTCTTCCTTGTTTCTTTCTCCTCTCACATTTGTATAAAAGAGCCTCACCAATATATAGCTCCGATATATTTATATTTATATTACATCGTGATGTGACACGTGTTTTACATCGGACAACAGCTTTTTTCTTTTTTTTTTTTTTTTTTTTTTATTATGCCATAAAATCTCAAACAGGGACTCGTCGTCCCCTTTTCGAAAAATACAAAAGAATACCGCGAAAGATCAAACCTCTCACGGTCGATCATCCTCGAGATCGTAAAAAATCCGTACTCGAATCGATCGTATGTATATATGACCTCATCCCGACGAATGAGTTTTTAAACGAGCGAAGCGAATCAAGTCCAACGATCGATACTTGGAATGATTTAGTCTTGCTTCATTTCAGTCGTAGTTCCAAACTGTGCATACTTTCGTATGTGTATGTGTGTGTGTGTCGAATTCGGAAAACTCGATACGTCTGGACATTTTTATTTTCTCCAATTCGTCCCCTATTTCCGTCCCTAACCGTAACGTGAAAATACATTCGTTGAACTTGATTCGCCCCAAGTTTTTAAGTTTTAATTGGTAAACGCGTGCGAGCACCACGTGTACTTTTTCCTCCATCTCTCTCACCTCCATCGATGCTCAAAGTAATAAACCGCCCGCGATCCAACCTATCGAAATGTGAACACGCGCACACGACAAATAAAAAGATCAAAACCGAGCTTCGATAATCCGAAAAGCGAGCGCGTTAAAACCGATTTGTCGACGTGAGGTTACACCCTTTTGGCACGCGATCGTAAAAATAGAAACGCCTTTCGAATTTGATCGCGCACCGCCATTAGACGTAACACGTGCGTAAATTAATTAAAAAAAAAAAAAAAGAAAAAAAAAAA